CGTGCGGTTACGACGCGCGATTGAAGGTTTTATGAAAATCGATTTTCCATAAAGCGACGCGTTTTCCTTGCGCTACATTTCCCACGGAATCTGAAAACGTTGTGCTCGTTTTATGAGAGAGCGAAGCACGAACCCGAGTCAATAACAATATATGCATGGTATTATTTCTTCTGATATTTCCTAACATTCGCAGTAGAATAAATATTCAAATATATTAAATTCTACCGAATATTTGATTATTCCTTAAAAGGCGATAATATTATATGTACCACCCTAAAATCCAAGTATTGGGTTGGCGAGGAAGTAATTTCAGTTCCTGTAACGCTATTTGTGCAAACCGAAATTACGTTCTTGCCAGTCTAATAGTATAACTTGGTAACAGCAAGAATATGAAACCAATTCATGGATCCCAATTGAACAGGAAAAATAAAATAATGTCACTGATCTCATTGAATTACATATCGAAACTAATAAATTCGACAACTATTCAAGTTGCAAGCTAAAATCTGCTCAATGCTTCCTGTTTGAATTGCCGACCATGTACTCAAACCGATCTACTGAATTCTACACTATTAGAAGAGCTTTGGAATATATTCAGCAAGATTTTAATTGTAATTAACATCAGGAAACTGTTGCAAAATTGAAGACACCCAACACTCTGGTACAGAAATCGTAGATTAATTCATATACTTAAAATTCACGGATATTTTATTTGCTATTTTAACCCGAAAGCGATTTATGTATTGGTACATCACGTATTATACTTATTGCATTCGCTAATAACCGGTGGTCGCGACCCAAATGAACCGATTAAAAAGAAGACGTTTGATCACATTTAATGACAAACATTTCGGGTGCTTCGTAGACCGAGAAATTGGTAAAGAGTACGTAGAATATTCTTGAAACTGATTGCTATACATGGCGTATACGTGACTTCAATTCCTGCGACCGAATCGTAATTACCGGCGGCGCCCCTTTAATTGAGACCCAATAGCGTAAATTAAAATATTGCCAGGCGCGAACACGCGGCGTCATTACCACCCGTGTTCTCTACCTCCCGGGCCCACCTCTCCCCCGCTATAATTAAAACGGTAAATTAACGTATTACCTGTGTCGTCCGCGGAAAAACGGGGGTAGGTAACGTCATTAGTGCGTTCGCGCTCGCGTTGTTTGTCCCCCCCTCCCTCCTTCTCCTTCTCTCCCCGTGTCCTCGTCACCTCCGTAACCGATTTTAACCCTGTTATCCATGATATTTTCGATCAACCCCCTCGATAGCGTTCAATTAACTCGGCGTCAGTCAATTTGCTCGAATCCGAGCACAGTTTCAACCCTTCGCTGGAACCTCGGTCACGTCAGCGTGAATCCGTTGCTTAATAATTGAAATTCCGAGTAAAATTCAGGCTCTACATTGATCGGATAAACTGCGGATACCTAAAGATACCCGGCGATTAAAATCGATCCAAGAATTGCACGCCACGGAATTGGAAGTTAAAGTATGTTGGGAAGACCTTCAACTTTCGACCTAAGAGGCTCGCAGAAGAAGGCAGGATCGCGTGATCGCAGGAAGGAATCAGCCCCGATCTCACAAGAGTTTCGATCGCGACTTGCGTCGGCACTCGAAGGACAGATGTTGTCTCGGCTCGTGGCTGGGTCGAAAAGGTAGCGAGAACCGTTGCATAATTTAACTGTTACGTGTACGAACGTGTTTAATGGCTGAGTAGGAGATACGATCGCCAAGTACGAATTCAGACTGGCCTGGTGATAAAAGAGTCGATTTCTTAAAAGAGCAGTTCGTTCTTCGCGTCACGAATTAGACACGGGGAAAAAACGGCGAAGCGCGGCGTAACATTTGCATGATTTAGCTATCAATTTCCTGGTCGATAGTCGCGCTCAATAAAAACCGTCCGATAACAATGACGGTGCATCCGTGTCACGGCGAACGATTAAATTTCATTGGTGAACGTCAATGCCGCGAATCAATTCCTGAAGCACAGCCTCGGCGAAAACAAGTCGCTCCATTTTTCCCTCGGATTCGATAGTGAAACGCGGGTACACAAGTTTCATCGATCCCGACGGTCACAAAACCGAGCAAACACTGTTTCAATTTTAAGACGACGATAAATCGCGGTATTATTTAATATGACGTAAACCCGCTGCGAGCTCTCTATCCTAATAATTTCCTACTGGAGCACGGCAAATTTGTATATTCTATCCGGTATAATCCGGGCTTAAAGTCGGGATATTAAATTTCGGTTGACCCCGATCAGCCGGCGTTGCTCGAAAGGAGTTAATAAACGCGTAATGAGGGCGTTAATAAATAAATAGTCGTGGACGCGGCAGTTTTTCGAGGGTATTTAGGGGCGGATCGGGTCAAGAGGGATTAAACGTGAATTCGGTCGGCAGAAACTCGGGTATCGCGTACGGAGGCGAACGACAATGCATTTTTCTCTTCGACACCCGGACCAGGGGTCCCATCCCTCTCTGTAAACGTTCGCAGTTACGTTGCAATTGCAGCGGGACACGGAGCCAGCCTTGAAAAACTGCCGACCCCGGGAAAACGGTTCCGCGTTTTACAACGGCGGCGCGCGCGGTGAAATAAAAAGTTTTCGCTGTTTTCCCAGCCGGTAGTTAAGGCGGTACGAGGCAACATCGTTCAATTAAATGATCAATCGCAACGTTTCCTGAATCCTATGATTGATAGTCCCACCGATTCCTACAGCCTTCGTCGGTTTCCTGCTAGACGCGGTTTAATTTTTTCCAATAACACCGACGCGTTCTTCGTTTAACCGATTTGAGAGCTCTCTGCACTCCGCGTGTGCGCGTTTAGCCAAAATCGAGAACGCCGAGTCCGAATTGCACTTTATTATATTGTTTTTACTGCACTCGACCGCGTCGAGCTTTTTTCCCCCCATCGAACGCGACCGACTCGAAACGGTTTCGCGTAACGGGCAAAATAAACGATCTGGTTTCCATTCGTTTAAATACGTCCTTCGATATAACCGAATGCCGTTATATGCATTTGCCCGCAGAATTTTTGTTACACGAAACATAACAATCGAGAGGGAGAGTCGTTCAAGTATTATTTCAGCTCGATCGTTCCAGCCAAGTAAATAAGTAAAGGGTTATTTATGTTATAAAATTAATACAGGACCGTTGTCGTTCATCTTACTCTCTCGTCAGCCGGTCAGCCACTTGTGTGCGACCAGTTCGTATAAACGTACACCCTGTATCAGAACGGTATCGCATTAACCACCCTCGTGTAATTAAATTAAAAGGTTAATTACGTTGATATAGTTACAAAACGGTGGAATAATTAATTCATCGGTCGTTCGTCGGCTGTAATTCTCACGACCGAGGTTATAAATTTCGCCGCGTTAAAACTATTAATTCGAAAATGAATGAGACTCTCGGGCGCAGGCGGCTCGCTCCCCGAGTATCAACTTCTACTGACCGACGTAAACCGATCCCTATTAGCAGCTGCAACTCGCAGTCTATCAAAGCATCCTTCCCGTTAACCCAGCAATCTCTCATCCATTCAGGAATGCGGTATAAATTTCAGATTCGTTTAACGGGAATAATTTAAATAACAAATTCATAGCTGATCCCAGCGTTAGGACTCGGTTTCCGCGGCTACGGAATTTCTGATATGATCGTACGCGGAAACGAGAGCGTGACGGTATCTTGGATGTAAACCGGATAAATAAAAATCGTTTGGTTCACGTAAATTATGGCAAATTGATAGTTGCCGAGTTTGTAAATTACATTCGGCCGTGGGGGAGGAAGACAGGGGTGGAGGCCCGTGATTGGCTTCAGCCAACGAACCGTGAACCGTGCCCTTCGCGCATTTCCTGGCTCCGATACATCAAAGGAGTAATGAAATCAACCGTGCCCCACGAGCTATTCCAGAAGATCGATTCCTGACCCGATCGATCCACATCCGCTTTGCAATCTAATATAAGCAGTCGAATCTACACTACTTGTCATAACTAATCAGTCAACAATTTTAAACAATCTACGAATATTCTGTCTTCTAACATTTTTTCTTCTTCTGTTATGAATATTATTTTACAAAAGGACTAGTGAATAAATAAATGAAAATGATGGCAGAGAGCAATGATTTTAAAAATTCCACAGCTAATTTCATGAACTATAATTAAAAACATTGTTGCTTCTAAACGAACTGGTTTCAACTGTGCGGATAGAAGCAGCGTGGCCGAGCTACGTGTCGAACAGGAAATTGGCCGGGGATCGATACGCCAATTAACCAGGTGCGAACGTCTACGAGGAAAAAACGTTCGCGCGATAAACGAGGCATAAACTCAGAGACAACGTCGCAGGGGCAATTAATTCCGAGACGAGGCACGGCTTTGTCTCTAAGTATTCGCTAATTTGAGAGTCGATCGAAAAGCTGCGAGAATCGCGGAGATAGTGCAACGTCTGCGAGTTACGTGGGCAAACGCTCGAGACGCTCAAGAAATGCCAGGTGCATGTGTGCAGCTTCGGGAAGTGAAACAACGGCCCTCACATAAATCGTAGTTTGTATTATAAAAAGTTCGGGAGCATCTGTTACATTTGGTAACTTCGTGTTCTCTGGCAATGGTAACGTTGTTACGTATTGAAGGATACCGTACAGGATTTATCGGTGAGACGCGAGGGGTTGTTTCAATCCCGCGGCTGCCCTTAACCCACCCTTCGCGAGAGGACCTAACCTGCGCAACCGCGTTGCAACTCGCATCCAGCATGGAACGAGGCCATGTGCGCTATTAGATCTAAGGAGGTGCGAGGTGGTGGCTCGGGGGTGGCGAACAGGAAATAAGGTTGGATCGCGAGACGCGGACCAACAGCCGTGAAACGATCGGGACCGATGCAGAGAGACAATGTTTCTCCGGTCCGGTTCCGGACGCTTTCTCTCGCCCCCTTGTATCGTTTGTCCAATCGAGGGAAAAAAGAGTCGTGAGAAAGGGGGATGGGAAGACGGGAGAAGCAACGTGAAACCTTACCAGAAGCCTTGTCCGGCAAATGGGTATCCCGAGTTCCTTCTCTGTGGCCAGGGTGTGGTTCCTTCGCGTACGGGTGGGGCCAGGATCACCCCACGGGATTAAGGACTTTGGACTTGGCTGGATTCGGGAAACTCGCGTCCGTTTTTGTACGCCAGTCTCTGTACGTATGTATGTATGTACGTATGTATGCGTGCGTCGGGGGTTGCACGTACGTGTGGCGTGATCGTCTCTCAGCGAACTTCTGTAAACGCGGGTTAACAGGCCGCGAGTTCGTGTTTCTTGCCAGGTTCGATGTGAACGCGCGTTTCCATAATAAAGGAGGAATCCGTAGGAAAATGGGACGGAGAACAGACCTGTACACGCTCTCTCTCTCCCGACGTGCGTGCGCCCGTGTGTGTCTGACGTACGCGAGTATGCGTGTACCCGAGGAGCGAGGTCGCGATATCGTAGGAGTCTGCACGTGTGCGCGCGGGTGTATATACGCGCGTATGTGTGTGTGTATGTATGTACGGTGTATGCGCGTGTAGAAACGCGATCTGGTTCGCGTCTTGCGCGTCGATCCAATCGTCGGCGGTGTCTGGAGTTTAAGGGGGATCGGAACGAGGATTCGAGGTGTTTTTTTTTTTTTGGATGAGAACAGAAACAGGACGAGGGGGATCGGCCTTACACGCGTCTCCTGCCTTCGCTAGGACATTGTCACTCCCGGTAGGCCGTTGTCACTGTTACACGAGTCAGGTGGCAACGCGGTCCACCCGTGGCAGCCACCTCCGCCTGATTCGCGTGATCTTCGGTACCTGGTCAGGACCCGGCGAGGTCCTCACCAGTGTGAAACCCTTCGTCTCGCACTACTCACACTGCCCGTATTTTCCTCCGCTGATTCTTCTCAGTCACGTGACGCATCGCGCCGCGACATCGTGCGTGCTACCACCCAACGAGCGACTGATCGTGTCACGATCTCGCGTACACCATCGATTCACCTCGCGTTCCGCGAATTTCGTTGGATCCCCCAACGACGCCGCTCGCTAGGGCACCTCGATCATCCACCAACGTGACCGGACACGGAATCCGACGTCGTTACGCGAACTGACTGAACTCGGCCGGGCACCCTGGAATTCTCAGAGGTTCGAGGTCGATACTAGGCACGAAGGCGGTTCTTCTCGTTTCGAGGCTTCAGTTCCGACACCGACACTGATAACTCGCGACGCGACGCATCAAACACGAAATCCAGCCACCGTTCGCAACACCGCGACTGGCGTTTGCTCCAGTTCTTATAATAGTTCCGGCAGCCTGCGCTCCGTGCCTCGCGTTCTTCCGACGATCCCCGCGGGTCAGCGATCGCGTTGCTGCTGCTGCTACTGCTGCTGCTGCTCCTCTCGAGAGAGCTGCGGAGCCACGACTGCGACACGCAACGTCGGTGTAACGAATCGGTCGCGCCGGATGACCGCGCGCTCCCCGATCGACGCGTTTCGAGGCAAGACCCTCTCGCGGTGCCCTCGGATCGTTCGACGCCGATTCACCCCCTTGCGTCGTTGATCGTCGCGAAGCCGGCGAATTTCTCGGAAGAAAAATCGCGAGGAACGCGTTAAACACCGCGAGGGAGTAGTTGGAGGTAAGCCGCTTGGCTGGCGGTGGTGCGCGGCGCCATGACAGTGTCCGCTACTCCGCTACCGCCCCCACCAAACAACCCCCTACAGTCGGCGCACTCTCTCGACGACCCCTCTTCCACCGTTGCGATTCCCCTTCGCAGTCCCCCCGGCACCCCGCCGGGCCAACTTTTGCCTCCACCGCGGCCATGGATCCGTTCCATTCGGCCCGCCGTGCCTCGTCTTTCACCCCCTGGCCGACACCCCCTTGCGTCCCTCGCCCAGCGTCGCGCTGCCTCGGCCCCACCAACGCAATATTGATCGGGCGGAAGGGCGGCATCCAAGCTCGTAACGACTTTCAGTGGTGCCCTGGCCACGTCCCTCGTGTCATCTGCCTCCCTTCTCTCTCTCTCTCTCTCTGTCTCTCTTGTTCTCTCCTCGCCCTCGTTTGATTTTTTTTTCCCACGCCACCCGGTCTCTTCAGGGATTTCTCGCGTTTCGTTTCGCGAAACAGATTCTTAAGGGATGTTCGTCCTTTTTTCTTCCCGAGCCGCGCCGCGTCGCCCGGACGTTTTTCACGGCCCGCACGTGGTGCGTCGCGTGCACTCGACACGCCGCTAGTCGGACGACCGGCTCTTATTCCACCTCACGCGAAACTCGTCCTCCCGTCTTTCGCTATTCTTGTTGAGCAAACAGATAACACCGGTTTCGCGCCGCTGCCCCCGTTACCATTTGAGTCAATCCCCTCTCGCTTTAAGAGATAGAGATACCGCAACGTTCGAGTCCGATGCTGTTTTTAAGTTTGACTTTGAATCAAATATTTGAGCGCACCTTACCTCGTTTACACTACCAGCGGCCGATTGTTGCGAACCGACTGCCGGGGATCAGCGCCGCGTGAAATTTAATTAACCACGCAGACGTTCCTCTACGGCGAGTCTCTTTTTAAATCATGCTTTTTTTTTAGAACGTACGCTGAAAGCTCCGCTGGCAATTAAAACAGCAGGAAGGGCTTTCGAGTCACGGAAGATTGAAGCATCTTTTCTCTTTACACAGAATCCTATTTCCGTTTACTCGAATCATAGATGAAGTCGTAGCGCGTCTTAGAATTAGTTTGTATCTATACATGTATGTGCGTAAGTATGGGCGTTAATAGTTCAGCCGGGCGACTTTTCGGATCAAAGGGACTGCTCGGAATTTCACGGTTCATCGCAGCAACGTTAATGAACGCGTCTGTCGTTCATAACCGGATATCCACGCGAGCGCGTTCCCAGAAACTTTTTGGATATTCCGTCGTGCGCGCGCAGGGGCCATCGTCGGTGGCTGGAATCGTCTCGAGCCAACGCGAAGAATCGAAAACTTTTCGGTGAGGTCGGAGGAAAATTTCACGCCTCGTTGCTCCTGCTTTTCCCCTCCCCGTCGCTGTCCTACCTGACTTTCCCCGCTACTTTCAACCGGCTGCGAAACGCGTGAAACTTCGCGATTACTCTAACGTTCGCGGAGGCCTTAACCCTTTCCCAGCCCCGGCTGAAAGAGACTTAAGCCGAGAATTATGTACTCCGTAACTCATTCCACGTTTCGCATTATTTTCCGTCACATTTGTCGTCGTACAGGCTTTATGTTTATCATACGACTAATGAATCCGTCCTGTTTATTATAAATGAACAGCGTAATGTATCATCGAATGATAAATATTCTACAGAAATGGCGGCACGCTTGTCCATTTTTGTCTTCAATTATGAGAACACCTTTGTTGATGTTCGAACAGATGTGTACGTATAAATCCGCAGTTGAAAAATATGGAAACGAAAGGGATAAGAGGTGGCTCTCGAGCGAGAAAAAAGTGGAATCGGTTTAATTCTCCTTCTGTTTGGTCATCGAATCGCGTATTCGCCATTAATTTGTCGAACGCAGCTACGGTGCCTTGGCGATCCCTAAATAACGAGCAAACGCATTGTCCCGGACCCGGTATCTAACGCCGCGCAGGAAAATCTCGTAAAAAACGTTGCGTTCATGCATATGCAGGCGTCATAAATTTATCGCGTTCCCGTTCGTCCCGTATCTTTATTCAGCTTCCAACTGTATCCCGTCTCCGCCGCTATTCTTTTTACCTTGTTGCGACGCGAGAGGAAACGAAAACGACGAAAAGGGAATATAAACGAACCGCGGCGTAACGAGTGCAAAATACGAGGGACGGCAGGGAAAAGGTGAAGGGATGAGGACGAACGCGCGTTCCCGAAAATCCTGGATATTCGGAACCTCGGTACCAACGTTTTCATTCGAACTGTTTATCCCGTTTTCATGGAGCGCGCCGATTTCGCGGCTCGACGACCGACGCGATTATTAAGGGTGACTTACCCCGCGAGTGCGCTCGGCCGGATCCAGAAGGACGCCTTGGGATCTGGAACAAGAAGAAACAACGGTTAGTTCCGGCGGTTACGATACAGGCTGGTGAAACTTTCGCAATTTACAGCCGAGGGAAAATTCCCGTAAGAGCGATCGCGTGGCCGAAGAACGGGGGCGTCAACGAGGAAACGTATGAAAAAAAGAAAGGGACGAAGAAGACAGGAGGGAAACGGAGGGAGGGAGGGAGGGGGGGAACCCGAAGTCCCTGGGGGAGCTCGAAAATCCTATTGTATCCGGGTTTAATCTACGAGCGACGTCCACGGCTACGGCGAGACGTCCTGCTACAGTCAGAAGGAGATAATAGAGGCCGGCCGGAAGGCCATCGACCGATCTCTAATCGACGTGTCGCGAGATAACCGGCGGAATTTCTTGCCACGAGATTCCGGGCCTGGTGATCATCGAAATCCCCCGGGCACGGAACGCGCGCTTCCCCTCTGCTCGGGAATCGAACTTCGTATTAAACGCGATCCTCCTCGAATCCGACTTTCAAATATCAGGATTCTTACATAATGTGCTTGATCAAATGTCTGGTACCAATATTTAAACTGGTTCTATCGGGATCCAAGATATTGCTGATCGTAATCAAATAGCGAAGACTCAATGGTGTACAGTGACAAATTGAAAATTAGATATAAAATTGAGATAGCATAAAATGTAGAATGAAGAATAATAACTGAGAGTGATGTATTGTAGGTGAAGTGGACGGTCAAGAATAATTCATTTGGAGAAAAGGGTAATGACGTACTTGGTATTCGTTATATGCACACCTAGAGAAAATATTCACCTTAGGTCATAGGTCAAGGGAGTAGGGATACTCTTTATGATACGTAAAGAGTCATGAGAATTTATGTTGAACTGTCACGATGGCCTGTGTATGAATTTTATAATATGAAAACCAGATTGTAGAACAATACTTAAAAATTGGTCTAACGAGAAATCAATAAAAATTTACAGAATAGGAAAATGGCAAAGAGGTCATTAATATTAAATAGGGGTCCAATATAAGAATCCTGAGGGATTAAAATTTTTAACATGAATAGGTGTTTAATAAATATTTTACTATTTACAGTCTATCAGTAAGAGAACAATTTTAATTTTATAAATTACAGTAATGTACATATGTCAAGCCAAGATTTTGGATATTTTTAATACACCCGTTGACTCGACTTCAGAATTTCGCCAGGACCACCTGAACGGAGAAAATTGAATTTCTCTGGACAATATACAACCATTGAAAGATAGTCTATTTTTTTTATGACGAACCGCTCATCGCCGGAGGTCTGCAGTTGTTATTGCGCGAAACCGTGAATTATGGCTTCCTAGGAAATTGGGTTGGTTGACGTTAATGCGATGTTCGCGGCTCAACCAGCCGGCAGGCAGGCAGCTCTGTCGCAGGGACGCGTTTCCGGCAAGGACACCAGCCATAAATTGCTAAATACCCGCACTTAAAACGAGCCAACCGGCGCTAACCGGAAACGCGACGATCCTCGAGATGATCGCGGCAGCGCGATGCCGCGTCTGTTAACCGACGCCACGAATTAACTCCGCGGCGACGACTAGAATAAAAATCGTATAAATAAAGATCTATTTGCGTGAAAATGCTGGGTTATATATAAGCCGGTGGCGCGGATCGATAGTTTTGCAGAGTTTGATATAAATGTCGTGGCGGTGTTTTTCCCGAGCAAGCGAGGGAGGAAGGGAGGGAGTCCTCGACCTCTCAGGAACGAGCACAGCGAAGCACCGTGTCGTGTCGTGCACCGAATAAATACGACGACGCCGATATCCGCCAATAAAACGCGACGTGCCATAAATCTACATAAAATCGTACCGATTGAGAACCGGTTGGTAACGCGATCCGGTGTATTAAATTTTCAACCCGAACGACCCCGTTGCCATCGTTTGACCATTAGCCGTCCGTCGTAATTTAACGAAGACGGAGAGCGGTCTCTCGCCCCATCAACCATCAATCTGTTCGCGGCCCATTAAAACTAAATAAATTTCTGAGGGTTCCCGGCGGCGCGTCGTTCATCCACCCCTCGACGCGTTTCGTTAACCCCTCTTAAGATTCTTGAAATCTACCTCGATTCAAATAGCATTGTATCCAGTTGGCAAATAAGTTCGTTCGGTTTAAGTAGATTAATTCAACCGATGTCAGGGCATCCATCCCAATCGGTGCGAGAGATCGGTGGTGGTACGACACTCAATACATCCCAAGAAATTGTGTTTCATTCTTCCCTAAAGAACGAACTCACCACCCGAATACAATACGAAGAAAAGTTCTCTGACATTCGTCTGCTCGGGCATTTGCTCGAGTCAAGATTCAAGATCGAAGAAGTTCCGGGTCTTTTACCTCGGTCTAAAGATACGTCAGAGTGGCTCTAATTTTATTCGCAGTTAACTGGTACCTAGTTAGGCGAGTGAAACATCGTGTCGATACGAGCAGACGCGACGTGCTGGCTGATGATCGGGCGGCGGCAGCTCTAATTTTAGATAAATCCATCCAGCAGGCGAACCAAGCCGGTACACGCCCACGTACATGCGTGTGTGTGTGTGTGTGTTACGCACACCACGGCCCCGCGAAATGCACGTCGGTCATCTAATAATGCACGCGAAGGTGCGCGCGTACATGCAGCTCCGCTGCCGGGCTTTACTCGCCGCGCGTACG